TCTTTTTCTTTTCTATTTTTCTAATAATTTTTTTTTGGAGATCATGCATGCCATTTATTCCTTTTACTTGTGTATTAATTCAAACCTGTACAGTGGGCTGAATCAAGCGGCAACAAACTTCTACTCATTTGACCAAGGTCGAATTGCTGCTTATAGACTTTTTGAGATGATAAGTCGATCATCCTCTACTGTTAATCACGAGGGAAGTGCCCTAGTGACTGTACAAGGAAATATTGAGTTTCGAAATGTATATTTCAGTTATCTATCTCGTCCTGAGATCCCCATATTGAGTGGTTTTTACCTCACTGTACCTGCTAAGAAAGCTGTAGCACTCGTTGGCAGAAATGGTTCAGGAAAGAGCAGTATTATCCCCCTCATGGAGCGGTTTTATGATCCAACTTTAGGTATGGGAGTCAGATTTTGCTTTCATGCTTTGTGTTAGCTTTCTCATTTAAGGTTGTACTGAAATCTGTAGCAAGAATTTCTGCTTGCAGATTCTAATGGTTTTTCCATTTTGTGGTGCAGGAGAAGTTCTTTTGGATGGAGAAAATATAAAAAACCTGAGACTGGAGTGGCTAAGAAGTCAGATAGGGCTAGTCACACAGGAGCCTGCTTTGCTGAGTTTAAGTATAAGAGACAATATTGCTTATGGGCGGGATGCTACAATGGACCAAATTCAAGAAGCTGCTAAAATAGCACATGCGCATACATTTATTACCTCACTTGAGGGAGGATATGATACACAGGTGAATCATGGAAGGAAAAATTAGACGTGGAAATATCTATTTCTTATGTTGTTAATGGATTTTTCTGCTGTTCGGTTTTTGAAGATCCTTCTTTTCCTTCTATGTATCTCAGGTGGGAAGAGCAGGCTTAGCATTGACGGAAGAGCAAAAAATAAAACTTTCAATTGCCAGAGCAGTACTTCTGAACCCCTCAATTCTTTTGCTTGATGAGGTCACTGGTGGACTTGATTTTGAAGCTGAAAAAGCCGTTCAAGAAGCTCTAGATGTCCTTATGTTGGGCCGTTCAACTATAATTATAGCTCGGCGGCTTAGTCTTATAAGGAATGCTGATTACATAGCTGTGATGGAGGAAGGCCAACTAGTTGAAATGGGTACCCATGATGAGTTATTAAACCTGGATGGCCTCTATGCGGAGCTTCTCAAAAATGAAGAAGCTGCAAAACTTCCTAGGAGGTATGGTACAAGAGCAGCTGTTCTTTCTTTGACTTAGTTTAGGATTGTCCATGGTTATCATGGAAGTATCCGTACAGGGGTGTATGCAGCTACAGAATAGTCTCTATTTTGAAATAGAATTTCATTTTTCTCCTTGACAAGTTTCACTTTATGGTTCTGTTCATGCAGGATGCCAGTGAGCTACAAGGAAACTGCAACTTTCCAAATTGAAAAGGATTCTTCGGCAAGTAATAGCTTCCAAGAACCATCATCTCCGAAAATGATGAAATCACCCTCCCTTCAGAGAACTACTGGCATGTTCCGGATGGGTGATAACACTTTTAACTCACAGGAGTCACCAAAAGCTAATAGCCCACCAGCAGAAGTGTTGGAAAATGGTCAGGTCTTGGATTCAGAAGATAAGGAACCATCAATAAAAAGGCAGGATAGTTTTGAAATGAGACTACCAGAGTTACCCAAGATTGATGTCCAATCTGCTAATCACCAAACGTCAAATGGTTCAGACCCTGAATCCCCCGTTTCACCCCTTCTGACATCTGATCCGAAAAATGAGCGGTCCCATTCACAAACCTTTAGCCGCCCCCATAGTCATTCAGATGACTTTCCCATGAAAGCGAATCAAGCAAAATGTAGAAATTATAAGAAGGCACCATCATTTTGGAGGCTTGCACAACTTAGTTTTGCTGAATGGCTGTATGCTGTGTTAGGAAGCATTGGTGCTGCTATCTTTGGTTCTTTCAATCCGCTTCTTGCTTATGTAATCGCACTGATAGTAACAGCATACTACAGAGTTGATGAAGGTCGTCACTTGAGACAGGAAGTAGACAAATGGTGCTTGATCATTGCTTGTATGGGTATAGTGACAGTCGTTGCCAATTTCTTGCAGCATTTCTACTTTGGTATAATGGGTGAGAAAATGACTGAACGAGTTCGTAGAATGATGTTTTCAGGTGCTTGACTCTTTTAATATTATTCTAGTTTTCTTGATGTTGAATTGTAATGTGCTGGCATGTTATCTTACATTTTGCAATGTTGTGACAGCAATGCTACGAAATGAAGCAGGATGGTTTGATGAAGAGGAAAACAGTGCTGATACCTTATCCATGCGCTTGGCCAATGATGCCACATTTGTACGAGCTGCTTTCAGCAATCGGCTGTCAATATTTATACAGGATAGTGCTGCTGTTGTTGTTGCTCTTCTTATTGGGGTGCTGCTACAATGGCGATTAGCACTTGTGGCTTTGGCAACCCTACCAGTTCTCACTATTTCTGCCACCGCACAGGTTTTCATCATGTCTTGCTCTATAATGCTGAAATGTTTCTACTAGAACCATAGTTGTGATCCAATTTTCTGATTAATTTGGGGATGACATTCAGAGTTAGAAGTATAGTTGTCTGTTTCTCATAATAATAGAGTTTTGCTCTCTGGTAGAACAAGTTTGCCCTTTGGTTCTCCAAACGTGAAAGTCAAAACTGGCAGTACCAATGTGTTCGTGTCCACAACTTGATATAGGGAAAACAATTCAAACTTTTCTTTTGCAAATTCCAGTTATGAATTTTCAGTGCTACCATTACTGCCTCAGGCAAGGGAACTGATTCAAGGTGAAATCCTGTAATAAGGTTTGATTACGGATATTGTACCATCTACATATGGTGGATTTGAAACTAAATTTTAATCATCTTCAGGGCATCTCCTAAAAACTAATACTAAGTGGTGATATGTTGGCTTCTCTTTTAACAAATGACCTTGTATGCTGAAGTATAGGTACAAATCTAGGTATATATAGATATAGTTTGTGCTTGTTTGATGGTGTTGTCTGATTGGGTCCTCGAGCTTATGTCCTGCTATTTCGGTTCCTGTATATTCTTTCATTTGTCCAAGTTATCTACTATCTTTGATCTATGGTACTCGTCTTTGTTTTTTTTTATTTAATGAAGAACCACTGTTGGGTTTTTTACCCAGAAAAATCTTATATCATTCAATTTGAATGTTGCAGAAATTATGGCTTGCTGGTTTTTCAAGGGGAATTCAGGAGATGCACAGGAAGGCATCTTTGGTTCTCGAGGATGCAGTTAGAAACATTTACACTGTTGTAGCATTCTGTGCTGGTAATAAGGTAATGGAGCTCTACAGGTTGCAGCTAAAGAAAATATTCAAGCAGAGTTTCTTTCATGGAATGGCCATTGGCTTTGCATTTGGCTTTTCGCAGTTCCTTCTTTTCGCCTGCAATGCCCTTCTCCTCTGGTACACTGCACGCTCTGTGAAAAAGAAGCATATGGATCTACCTACTGCTCTCAAGGAGTATATGGTTTTCTCTTTTGCTACATTTGCACTTGTAGAGCCTTTTGGGTTGGCTCCTTACATCCTGAAGCGCCGAAAATCTCTCATTTCAGTTTTTGAAATCATAGATCGAGTGCCGAAGATTGAGCCAGATGAAAACTCAGCGATGAAACCACCTAATGTTTATGGAAGCCTTGAGTTGAAAAATGTTGACTTCTGTTATCCAACTCGCCCAGAACTGTTGGTACTGAGCAATTTCAGTCTCAAAGTAAATGGGGGGCAAACTGTAGCTGTGGTGGGAGTTTCAGGGTCAGGAAAGAGCACTATAATTTCTTTGATTGAGAGATTTTATGATCCAGTTGCTGGTCAAGTCTTACTGGATAGTCGAGATCTGAAAGTTTATAATTTGAGATGGTTGAGGAACCACCTCGGTCTTGTTCAGCAGGAACCCATTATATTCTCGACAACCATTCGGGAAAATATTATATATGCAAGGCACAATGCTAGTGAGGCTGAGATGAAAGAGGCAGCCAGAATAGCAAATGCTCACCATTTCATCAGCAGCTTGCCGCATGGTTATGATACGCATGTGGGGATGAGGGGTGTTGACTTGACCCCGGGACAGAAACAGAGAATTGCAATAGCACGCGTCGTGCTAAAGAATGCCCCCATCTTACTATTGGATGAAGCAAGCTCGTCCATTGAATCCGAATCTAGTCGAGTGGTTCAGGAGGCTCTTGATACATTAATCATGGGGAACAAAACAACCATTCTGATAGCCCATAGAGCTGCAATGATGAGGCATGTCGATAACATTGTAGTTCTCAACGGAGGGAGAATTGTGGAAGAAGGGTCCCATGATAATCTAATATCAAAGAATGGCCTCTATGTCCGTTTGATGCAACCACACTTTGGCAAGAGTTTGCGTCAGCGCCGCCTCGTTTAGGTTGAGGCCATTGATTGTTGAGAATTCACGTTTGGTTCACCTGTACAGTTCTCATTCTCTCGTTCTGGATTGCTGGAGTATATGCAACCAATAATGGCGTCATCGTAGAATATCCGTTGGTGGCATTCCAGAGTGGACAGGGTCTGAGAATGATAATCGGAGTGTTTATAGCGGAATGAGGCACGGAATGCAGAGGCGGATTCGTAGTCATATTGTTCAAATCTAGGCTTCTAGGAATACGATTTTTCGTTGCTGTTTGGTTGGTTATTTGAGGATTTGCTGTACATTCTGGCCTAAGTCTCCAATGGTATATTGATTGGTATCAAATCAAGGTCTCTACTGAAGAAAAAGGGGAAGGGGAGGTGGTTTCCCCTAGATTTAGTTAATTTACTTGACACTCACTCTTTGTTGTAACTTTTGTGAATATATAGATAATTTGTTGTTGCTATTCATTTTTCCCTGCTTGTTTCCACAATTTGAAGATATGTGCTGAAAAATTCACGTTAACGGAAAGGATAGTGCGTCAGACACTCGTTTTCTTCTTCTGCACTCCCTCACTTTAGGTGTTCGTCGGTACTCGTTGATTGCAAATGGACATAAAAAATTTAGCAATATATACTTCTTACACTGTCATTGGAGATTGCATTGCTCCATGACATTGGATTTCAGATGTCAAGCATTCTGAAAGAGTCTGCCACCACTTTAAGCTGGTTGCGGTATCTTTTCCACCGTCTTTCGTTTGCTCCGACAATCAGGGTGTAGTATCTCCCTGTGGATAAGACATCAGGATGGGAATGTGATCTAGATTGACAATTAAACAACATAGTTGAGACGGTGGATACTTACCGTTTCCAATAGCTATGGTTGCGAATGAAGTGGTAGCGAAGTTTGGAGATTCAAGTCCAAACTCAATGGTGTAATAATTTTTCCCATCGATGTTCTTCTGCATTCAATACATACCCAACCATCAAGTGTTTAAGAGTTGGATAATGCAAGAGTTCTTGTATATAAAGAGCATATATGTACAGATTAAAACCTCCTCGACGCCAAATATAGTTGCATACTGGTTTGGTGCAGCAAGTTTATGCCTCACCAGATCGGTAACAACCTGCTCAGAACGAAAAATTGTAAGAGACCAGCGATAAAGAGATAGATACAGGGTTTTGCAAGACTGGTGATATGACGGATTTTCTCGCTTTACCTGTTCCATTGGACCCAAATCATGGATGTCAGTTTTATTTGTGGGTATAAATCTCACTCTAACATTATGCAGCTGCATGTATCTGTCCTTGAATGCAGAGTCATGTGCTCTAAACTCAAAGTCCTGAGATATGGATGAATACAGAAATCATTTCAACTGAAAAACATTTTCTTTTCTTTTCTGTATGAGAAAATTTAGGGTTCTTACCCTCCAATCGTTGGGGTAGTAGTATGAATACCCATCTACTTTGTCGACGAAAGCTTGAAACTTTTCCGGTATTTCTTCAGATTGAAGAAAATTAGTTGTGGAAAGAGAGAAAAAAACAATTTAAAACTCAAGGAATATGAGTTCATACAAGTTTATATGATACCTTGAGCAAGGAGGGAATTTGCATGAAGTAGACTTGTGGTTAGTGCCCCAAATCCTAAAAGTAGAGGCCTTCTCTTGCAATGGCCTAAATTTTTTATGAAAGCATAAGATTTTGTTCAGGTTTAGTTCAGTAGTGATCTGAGTAAGAGTAAGCTAGGTTCAGGGTTCGTAACCCTCAAATATAACAAAAATATATATAAATCATGCCTAACCCAATCATTAATTCTGATGGAAGAAAATATAATAGGTATTAACCCGAAAACATTCACGGATTAACACAAACACAACTTGTTTTCTAATGGGTCATTAGGATTCCAGTCCACCAGTTATCAACATAACCGGTTAAGCCTTATCCCAAAAACTTTCGTGCGTGTTCACGTTGTGTTATCGGCTTGTGCATGATTTTGTTATGTCTAGTTCAATACAGAGACAGAAAAGAAAAAGGTCAAATCTGAAAAAGCTCAGTGTAGGAGAAAAATTTAGGAAAATGCAGAGAGCAAACATACTCATAAATTTGAACCAAAATATAGAGGCTGAAATCATCCAAAGAAGCATTTTTGTGAACCACAAGTAGTGAAAGAAATCAATATGTGCGCCTATCAAAACATGCAAACATTAACAGAAATTTATACATGCATTAATAACTGAGTACTGACTTGAGCGTATTGATATTCTAAAATTTATACAACCGGCCACACTTAGTGGATAATGTTTTGTTGTTGTTATATTAATAATTGAGTATTGAGAGTTTGAAGAAAAAACTGAGATGGGTAATCTTACTTTCTTCAATGGAGGCTGACTCTCCTAAGCAAGTGATGGATTTGCATGAAAAATGAGCCGAGGTAGCTCGTGGCAACTCATTGCAGTAAAACTAGAGCAGAATCAAATACATGTATGAGTTAGTAACAATTTTTTTTTTCATTTTCGATTCAATAAAATATCCTCGTACCATCGAGATTTTTACCTTGTCAGGTATGGCAGTAGAAACCCAGCAGCTCAATGAGAGGGATGATGAAATTGCCATGCTTGAATATTTATCAGAACTCAGAAGTGGCTTTAGGTACTGATATTAAAAGTAAAGAGTGGATGGTGGAGACTCAAAGCATGGAGTTTGGCCTCCTGTTTGGGGATGAGTGGGCCAGGGAGCTATTACACGTGAGAGGCACGTGAATGAAAAAGGAATAAGAGATTTTCTGAAATTTAATTTAGCCAGCACTACACTCAATTCCAAAACTCGCACTATATCGGAAAGCAAATATGACGGCTGATGACATGCTTAATCTTAGTTATTTTGATCATTCATATTATATAATATCAAGAATAATGAATTAATATATGTATTTTTAATGTTTTAATCTCAACTCTTGATATTAAATACATAATGTTTGGCTATTGAAAGAAGAGTAGCAAGTACTGCTGAAAAACAAATTGAAAATAGACACGTGTCCATTTGTTTGGAGTGAAGTTGGTTCACGCTTCTAATTCTTTAATTATTGGCCACATGTTCATTTATGATTGAAGACTTATTCATTTCAGCAAGACTTACTACTCTTCTTTCAGTAGTCAAACATTATTCTTAAATGTAACAAAGACGAAACTACTATACTTGTTTGTATTTTGTACTCAATACGCGGAAGTTCCGAAAAATTGTTGGCGCCGAGATTGTCACCTTGGAATAATTCAGCTGCATTCATCAATGGAATAGAGGTTGTTTCTGTGCCTAGTGGGGAATTTCCTAGCACCAAAGTAACTGTTCCTCTCGGGGAACATCCAAACGTAGCTTTTAAGACAGCGTATCGTATAAACATGGGAGGACGTGGGAGCCAGATCATGCTTTTCTTCTCAACGCTGCAGCGGCACGAAGCATCAGTGCTGATCCCGGATCCATCAAGTACCCTGATGGAGTTTCGGTCGACAGTGCACTGTTCACCCATTTGGGTTTATGCCACAGCTCAAGGAATGGCAGATGCAAGGTCAGCAATCAGAAGTTCAACGTATCATGGGCATTCGAAGTCGAAAAGGACATCAGTTATCTGATCAGATTGCACTTTTGCGACATTGTGACGTTTGATCTTCAATGTGTATATCAACCAACAATCTGCTTTAGACTCTTTTGATATCTCAAGCAGGACAAAGAAATTATCAGCAGCTTATTCGTAGATTTCGTGACGAATGTAACCGTGGACGAAAATCGGATTTTGGTTCAAGTTGGTCCTCCTATGCTGAGGGATCTCCCTTCCAATGCAATTTTGAATGGATTGGAGATTACGAAATTGAGCAATCACAGAGACAGCCTTGATGGGACCTTCCAGCGAATAACAATGCAGATTTGAAATCCCCGGGCAGGCAGAAAAAGTGGATGCTGCTGTCAATTTGTGTTTCTTCAGCAGGATTTGTAGTTTTGGTACTCATCTCAGTTGCTTTCTTTTGTACAGGCGGCAAATCCATCAGAGGAAGCTTAGGCCTCACTGCTCGGCCTGGCTGTCCTTTCCTAGCCAGTGGGGAATTTCAATTCAAAAGTTTCCGTTGGCAGTTATGATTATTCCACAGCACACTCTTGTTTGCGCCGCATTTTAGCTTTTGCAGGAGATTCGTGAAGCAACCAAGAATTTTGACAAGAGCTTGGTCTTGGGAGTAGGGGGATTTGGCATGGTTTACAAGGCAGTGCTAGAAAATGGAAATGTGTTTGCAGTGAAGGGCGGAAACCCGCGTTCCCAACAAGGCCCTACCGAATTCAGGACAGAAATCGACATGCTGTCAAAGCTCAGGCACAGACATTTGGCTTCTCTCATAGGCTACTGTGAAGAACTGAACGAAAGGATCCTTGTTTATGAGTACATGGTCAAAGGTCCTCTGCTAAAGCATTTTTATGGTTCGAATCTTCTTCTGCTTACTTGTAGACAAAGGCTTGAAATCTGCATTGGAGCTGCAAAAGGGCTGGCATTACCTTCACAATGGAGTAGCAGATAGCATAATTCATCACGACGTGAAAACAACAAACATGCTTCTTGATGAATTCCTCACCGCGAAAGTGGCTGATTTTGGATTGTCAAATTTAGGTCTTGCTTTGTATCAATCACATGTGAGCACTGCAGTGAAGGGGAGCTTTGGATATCTTGATCTGGATTACTATCACCGGCAGCAGCTAACGGTGAAGTTAGATGTGTACTCTCTCGGAGTAGTTTTACTAGAGGTCTTATGTGCTAGGCCACCTATAAACCCTGCCCTCCCTCGAGAGCAAGTTAACATAGCAGAATGGGCAATGAGTTGGCAAAAGAAAGGAAGATTAGAGAAAATTATAGACCCCCGTCTTCAAGGATATGTGAATCTTGAATCCTTGTGAAAATTCGGAGAACAGCTGAGAAGTGTTTGGCTGAATATGGAGATGAAAGGCCAACAATGGTGATGTTTTGTGGAATTTGGAGTACTCTCTTCAACTGCAAGAGGCTTCTACACAGAGCTTTTCATCCAAAAACAGTACGAATTACATTCCAGATATGCCAGAATGGCTTCCGGAAATTCGAAATGGCAATGGGAGTGGTGGTGAGGGCATTAGTGATGAAGAATCTGATGCAACTTCAAGTGCAGTCTTTGCAGAGTTATTGGATCCAAGAGGGAGAGAGGAGCTGATTCATCACACATACTTTAACTTACTACACCAATATATGTTTCTTCTTTATTCTTAATTTCTCAACTTGTACTCTGGTTCCAAGATCAAAGTGCAAAGGAAATTTGAAGATCAAACGGTCCTTTTTCTTGGGAAATTTCACACTTCCAATTCAAACTTCATGCAGGCGATCATACTGATGAGTTCCAATTCGTGCATGTAATATTTAACGTTGTCACTTGACATACTTGTTCACTTACTCTTTTTGTATTTTTTTTTTTTTGAGAGAAACGATAGTAGTAGATTGATTTTAAGGCCCAAAGAAATCCAAGAAGAACAGTACAAGTGGATTACATAACATCCTCCATAAGGAGGTCAATAGTGAAACTAGGAGCATGGACAAGCCATTCGAAATGACTGCCAATATTTAGACTGAACCTAGCTATCCTATGAGCAACAGTGTTGGCTTGACAGCGAGCAGAAAGATCTTCAGTGATTGCGGCAAGCAAACTCTTTGAATCTTCAATAATATGCTCGAATGGAGATACGTTGGTTGACGAATCATTAAGAGCAGCCACAATCTGAAGGGAATCACCTTCCATAATAAAATTCCGAAAGCCCCTTGACGCCGCCCAAACCACGCACTCACGAGCTCCCAAAGCTTCCGCCATCAGTGGAGAAGAGACGTCCTGCCAATTCCAACAGCGAGCCTCAACAAATTTCCGAATTCATCCCTAGCCATGATGCCAGCACCTCCCACTAGAGAGTCCCGGTTCCAGGCTCCAATTTAATTTGAGACAACCAGACGGTGGTAAAGACCATTTGCAAGGACCAGGATCCATAGAGTGGGATTGACTTGGACAAGCTTGCACGCGCAAGTATTCCTACCACCAAGCAATCGAGCGAGCAACCATAAGATCCTTGGAATCACAAGTGTCCTTCCATAGCATGTGATCACATACTTTATATTACTTATTCATTTACTTATTATGTGAAAATATAACCCATGTGATCACGTATTTTATAATACGTGAGCTTTCAGTATTATTATCTTTCATCTCAAATGACAAAACATGTTAGAAAATCAATGCTGGTGAGATCTTTAGAAGATGCAGTGATCGAGCTGAAATACTAGTTCATCTTGGTATAAAGAGGTGGCAACTTTAAAAATTTTAGAGACACTGTACACACTAGAAAATCCTAACAAGTTTAGGAAAAAATAAAAAAATTAAAAAAGAAATAAGAAAATTCAACAAGTACTTTATGGAAATGCAAAGTCTTTAAGCTCCTTTAAAAGTGACACACCCCGACCAGAGTCGAGACGTGCTGATCGTCACATGAGAGTGACGTAACCAAGTGCGCAACAGAAGTGATAATAATAAGAAAATGCGAATAAATAAAAACCAAAACTAAACTTATTTAACTAGAGATAATATGTAAGTGTGTGAAAGTGATCAAGTATAAGATACACGCATATTAGAGCATAGGTAAAACGAAAGTGCAGTCGAACTAACTAAGTACTAATTATACAAACAGGGAGAAGATCCCTACTTTTATTTATGGAAACGTCAGAACCGCCGTGTAGTCCTCGTGAGCTACCAAAGATGAACAACTACCTAGAACCTGGAAGGGCGCAAAACAAAATGGTGAGTGGGCAAAAACAAAGCGTTTGAAAACGTATTTATCTTTATGAACATAATAACCTCTCTCCGCAAAACCCGTATAGTTCCAAAAAATACTAATAAGTAGGTATGAAAACCAATGCACAAGAGCAACGAAAACTAAAGTATGCCATGTCATGATATCTCAGCAATAATAAATGTAAGCCAGGTGTGAAACTAATATAAAATAGTATGCCAGTCGGAGTCACCTAACGTGGCCTGTATGACTGGACTTGTGGCTCATTAATCAAGGCTAGCACACGAGTCAGAGTCACCTAATGTGACTTGTACGACAGGCTAGGTATAAATATGTACACTCAAGTGCTAGGATCACGTGAAGGCTGTGTGATAATTCGCGGGTCATCTATGAGTCGGAACCACCTATTGTGGTCTCAACGACAGGCTGGCACTAGACTTGGATCCAAGGTGAGCGTGCGGTGCACGAGATGAACAATCACGTGGCTGGCCTTAGCCCCGAGCGGGAGCACTAATACCGGGGTGCAGCCATGATTAGCTCTAAATAAATGTGTGCATACCAATGAAATACAACCCATTCAATCACATAATACTCACCTGAAGCTTACCTGAGTCTCCGCAGCATCACACAATACAATTCACAAGTGTAACAATGCCATATTTAAAATGTAACTTATTTACGACATGGCAAGTAAAGCATAATTTCATATAAATATATATATATATAGAAAATAAATGCCCACTCACTGATAAGTAGCAAGATCATAGCCCCCTAGCTTCGCTTGTCCACGCTCGTCCTCAGGGTACGTCTCACTTATATGTGATACAACTATTTTTACGTTAATTAATTAGCACATAAACAAAGCCTAGGATTAATTCCTCATACGTTGCTCAAATGGGGTGTTTGAATATACCAACGTGATCTACTCGACAACACGAACACCCCCATATTTTTAGAAAATTTTTTGGATGTTGGATGCGCCCTTATGCGCAGGCACGTGCTTGGCACACGGGACGGAAACCCTAACAGCGTTAGGAATATTCCATTAAATTCTAACGGTGTTACTTGATGCCATTAAAATATTCCGTCAACTTTGACAGAATATTCTTCTTCTTCTCTGATGGACCTCGCAGGTCTCCGCCGTCCACGGCCGTCTGGTTTGCCAGTTTCTGGAAAATTTTCAAAACTTAATATCTACTTCATTTCTCAACCAAAATCCATGAAATTTATATGGATTTGAAGGTCTTGAAGAGTAGAACACATTCGTACCTATTAGGAGTTCAAAATCCTACGAAAAGCAGTCGGAAAATTTCTTGGAAAATCCGGCCAATTCTGAAACTTTCCAAACTCGCCTATATCGACGTCCGCTTCACTCCAAAACCACTCCGAAGTGTTAGGGAAGTTGTGTGGATACCTTTCCAAGCCTTAAAACCTCGAAACCACGTCAGGATCGCGTCAGAGCAACTTGGCTCCTCGTTGGAGCTCATGAGTCGACGGTCAAAACTCACCAAAACTGAAACCTAAGGGTATGGCTAGGTTCGTGAGTTTGTGAGGAGTGTGATGGTAGTCTTCATAGGTTCAATCCATGCTGTTTTGGTGTGGTTTGTGCGTGTGGGGTGTCTTGGGTGCAGAAGGAAGAAGAAAGGAGAAGAGTCGAGAAGGAGAGAGAGTGTACGTGTATGTGTGATTGGCCAGATTCAGAAAATATTATTTTCTGATTGGGCTGCCGTGAGAGAGATAGAGTTCCAATTGGCCCAAAGAAAGATAAAAGTCTAAAATCTGATTGGTTTAGATGTAATAGGAGCTAATATAATTGGTTCGTGATTAACCTGTTTACGTATTCAATTAATCGTAACTTTTTCGTTACGAATCCGATTCAGCCCTAACTCGAGTCTACGCGCTCGTGACATCGAGTACGATTTAATTATAACGGCAAGGAAATAATTTAAAACTACATATGTACATCCACGTCACTTAGCCAACGAGAGTAATATCGTCACTATACACACTAGGGAGAAATATATATATATATATATATATATATATAATATTGGGACGAGTCGTCACCAAAATTGCTTTTAAAATAATTAAAAATACTTTTTTAAAAATATTTTTAATTTTAAAAACACTTTTAATTATTTTAAAAGTATTTCAAGTTAGAGAGAGGGAGTGGGATAACTTTTTCAATAGGGACAATCACTTGAATCATACAAATAATGCATAATGATTGATCCCACTTAGCATCCAAGAATTGGTCGGTCCTAATATAACCAGAAAAATTGAGGTAGTCATTTGTCGGCATACAAACAATTATTTTGGAACGTTGTAGTTCATACATATGAATTCAATTTCTTTACATTAATTTATTCGTTTTCGAGATGAACTCGAAAGATAATATAAAATCTTCTGGAGTGCATGCATTTAGATTATTTTAATTTATCTTTTTTTGTATTTAGATTAATTTATTCGTGTTCGATGTGACCTCGAAGGATTTAAAAATCTACAACTTTGTCGAACATTTCAGTCCCTATACAATAGTCTTCATTTTTCTCCCAATTTGATGATTAGCATACAATTGTAAATTCAATGGTATACGTGACATATAGGATTGTTAAAGTTCACTTAGTGCTTTTACGCTTTTAAAAGACTTTTCAGTCATTTAAAAAGCTTCTAAACGAGTATTGAGCACCACAACATATCAATTACAAATTATTTAGTTCATTGCTGAAAGAGAATTCAATTATATTGTTATAAACGATATTCTATTTTAAACTAATTTAAATTATAAAAATAAAGATTTAAACTCGAGTACAAATAAGAGCGATGATTTGCTTAAGTTGTTGTTGATACTCTGCAAAAATAGATAATCATCAAAGAGGACGGGCCCTACAAAATTTGCGTGTATAAAACACACTATTTGGAAATTGAAGCACGTGTTTATGCATACGACATAAACCAGTTTAGAGAAATGGCCGTTGTAGGACCGTCGCAGCCGACACAATTCTAGCTCCATGAACGCACCCCTACTCTACGAAAACGACCGGCGTTTTGAATATTCAAACGTCGGTTCGTCCCCACTCCAAAAACTCGCCGGCCATTCAGCTCTCGCGTCACTAATACACTACACAATCATTAAGCGGGGCCCGCCACGTCCCATGGACGGCGATCCGAAATCTTCTCGTTCCTCTTTTTGCCGATTCAGCTGTTGATCAAATTTCATCTCCACCACAAACGTGCCGCCGTACCAGGACGAATGACACATCGCACTCGTGATCTGTAAAGCCACCGACATCTGGCATCGAGAAAAAAGCCTGTTCCATGATCGTAGCGCACTGGTCCTACATATTTACTAACCTCATTACCGCTAACCGGATATACTGGTTCCACTGCCTTTATTTTAGGTATTTATAGGGAAATCCCATGCAAGTAATTAAGCAGAACACTGAGGATTTCGAAGCTTTTGAGCAATTTAAAAAGAAAAGAGAAAAGAAAGCTAGAAATTTACGAAAATGCCAATCAACAGAATTGCAGTTGGAACGCCGGGAGAGGCAAGCCACCCTGATGCAATTAGGGCTGCGTTGGCTGAGTTTTTTTCCATGCTTATTTTTGTCTTTGCTGGGGAAGGCTCTGGCATGGCTTTCAGTAGGACTCCAATCCAACAATTTCTGTATTTTCAATGAAATTGCTCGTTTAATTGTTCCAGGCTCAGCTGCGTTTGATATACAATGCTGATTCATTTCTTAATAACGCATGGTTTCGAAGATTAATAGTCATCTAAATTTACTAGCGTCTCTTTTTTTTTTTTTTTTGCCTGTAATACGTGATGGAGAGTCGTCAGCTTGATATGCATTGTTCATTTACGATTCCACGTGTGGTTGTCTAATTCAGTGACCTAAAGAGTTTAATCGATTTTGGCAGACAAGCTTACTGACAATGCGTCAACCACACCTTCGGGGCTCGTAGCTGCATCATTAGCCCATGCATTTGCACTTTTTGTGGCGGTCTCAGTGGGTGCAAATATTTCTGGTGGTCATGTAAACCCTGCTGTCACATTTGGTGCATTCCTTGGTGGAAACATAACACTCTTGAGGGGCATTTTGTATTGGATTGCACAGTTGTTGGGATCAGTGGTCGCTTGCTTGCTGCTCAAGTTTGCCACCGGGGGATGGGTAAGTGTTAAAGAGCTTGTTGGCTTATACTTAATTGTTGATCTTACTGGATGGGCTAACAACAGTTGTCCACGCACGCATAGATAACTCTTAGTTGGTTGTGTAATCTGAGATTTACGTACATTAATGATTGCTAGTTAGCTACTGTCGCATTCTTTTTATTATACACATACCCAACTTGATGTTTTTGTTAACGAATTACCCGACTACCTGCAGGAAACGGCAGGATTCTCACTATCGTCTGGCGTATCGGTATGGAATGCTCTAGTGTTTGAGATTGTGATGACCTTCGGCTTGGTCTACACAGTGTATGCCACAGCAGTGGATCCAAAGAAGGGGAATGTAGGGATTGTAGCACCAATTGCAATTGGTTTAATTGTTGGTGCAAACATCTTGGCTGGTGGTGCGTTTGATGGTGCATCTATGAACCCAGGCTGTGTCATTTGGGCCTGCTGTGGTCAGTTGGTCATGGACCCACCACTGGGTGTATTGGGCCGGCCCACTAATTGGTGCTGCCATTGCAGCTCTTGTCTATGACAACATCTTCATTGGTAATAGGACCCATGAACCCCTTCCCAACAATGACTTCTAGAAATTAGTCCATCTTGATTAAGATTTGATGGGATGCAATTGTTCACCTCAAGGTCTCTTCGGGCAAAAATCGAATTTCATGTCATTTGGGGGGGTTTAAATTGAATTTCATGTACTTTTTGTTGTAGGGATTGTCATTTTTAATTTTATGTTGTAAGAGGGAGTAGAGCTTGTTGGTTTATGATGTCAGATCGTTTTAGTGGAATTGCCTTGTTTGCTTCGTGATCTTCTTGTTCATGTTCATTCGCTTAACTTTCATATGCAGAGGGCTTCAAATTTCAAATATTTGTATGAACACACTTCCTTTTTTGCTAGACAATACTATTAATTATCCTACTAGACAGATAAAGGAATTCAAACTTAACGTAAAAAGACACACACATTGTCTTAGTCTATGGATTTGTATTGAAAAACTGATCTAACCCATATCTTTTATATGCACACGCTTTCAAATCGTTTGAGCAAGGCAATTTCATCATGTATACATAGAGTGGATCACATAACCTTTTACTAGGGAGCAAAAAATTCAGACTTGAGAATTTGGTGTGTACGTAGACCCATGTTACCATGTTGTATACTCATTTCTCTCTTGATGCTGCTAATGATTATGGTAATTGGCTGCAACTCTATAATTTATGCTCTGCCAAAGTGATTTCATCCTCTTGATTAGTAAATCCCGCCAACTTAATCACTTTGAGATTAGCCAGTTTTGTTTGGCCTCTGACTTTCTTCTAGGATCGAGCTGTCCTTGACATGGAGTCGCCTTTAGGATCATCCTGCATTACATAGTCAAACACGGTGTAAAACAAGGAAACAAAATATCTATATATTTCAGTTGGATTTTATCTTCAAAGGAAACAAACAAAAAGGCATTGATAATTAATACATATTTTTTTTATTTGACCACATACAAAAATATTAAAGAGGGCAAAAGAAAGAGTTTTGAGTGAAAGAAACCTCAAGTTAGAGAGAGTTGCTCCAAAGCTGGACATAATTTAATAAAGGACATCAGAGCATCGCTGTTGCATCTTTCTTCCCGATTATCAATCCACCGTAGCTCTTTCAGCTTGTAGAATATGAAGTTTGCTTGTAGTGACAAAAGGGATGGCCAGATCAATGTCTGCAAAAACATTTTCAAACTTTAAACATAGACGTGCATCAATATTGATAAAAAGAACATTTCGGTACTTTTTTTTATAATAATGTTACAAACACATTATCGATTACATATGATGCAGTCTGCTCGGACTAATAATTTATAATTATTGTGTTTGTACTAGCTTGAACGTTTGAATCTAAGACTAAAGAAATACAAATACTACTAAAACACACCTGAAAAGTCCATTTGCTTAGTGTGAGAACTTGAGCATTTTTAATGGTTAACAACATAGGATCAAAGTCGGTACTTTTGAATCCGCTGTAGACGGGGCCTTGCCTGAAATCAAGCATGGCGTCTGCTAAGTTAAAATGATGTTCCGTCCAAATCTGAGGGAGAAAACCACGGTATCGAAAAGATCGAAGTTTTGAAGTTTTGAGGTGGAGAGACTTGAGATCCTGGCAGTCAAAGATGGTCAGGCTGAGTAGCCTTGGACTGGACTCGATATGCAAAGATTGTAACCCTTCACATTCAATGATCTTCAAGTTTTCGAGAAATTCGAAACTCGGAATCATAGAAGAAATTGCTTCATTGCCAAAAGAGCTGACTGATTTTAGGTAAAGAATTTTGACAAAGAAATTAGAGGGAGAAGGCTGGTGGGAAATTAGGGTTTGGACCCTTCGGTGATTCAGCTTCAAGTTCCAACCAAAATGCCTTGGAATTTCCTTATTCTCTGTGGAAAACTCCAGGTGGAGTTTATTGTTGGCTGCAACTGTAGCCAATAGGAGATCACTGTGTTTCCCAAAGTGCAGTTGCAGCTTCCTAGGATGCCGTAAGGGATCATGTTGGTCAAAGTGAGATAGAAACTCAGAAACTGCATCAGCAGCAGCAGCATTTGTAGTGACCCGCTGAACTAAAGTTGTATTCCAAAGGCCTCTCCACATACTTGAAATTAAACTGGTTTCTAATGCAGATTCTGAAGGGAGAAAAGAAATAATTTTGCAAATGATTTCATTTGGTAATTTTCCAAACAAATCATCTGCTATTGTCTTCACCATATCTCCAGCTGCTGAACTAAGTTTACTACAAGAGTAGATATGATGTACTAAAACAAAGTACAAAAAATATGACAAAAAGATCGCCTTATATATTGATGCCTTGAAGTATAGGTTCTTTTCTGGAGGCTTCACCATATTCTGTCCAATTGGTCTATGGGAAATTAATGTGCCTTCAAATTAGACCAGTTCAATGGTCTTGACTAGACTTATTTATCCGATAAAATCATACTACGATTTGATTCATTGGGAAGGAAGAAATTTAAAAATATATTAATCTGATTTTATTTATATTGGTTTAGAATGGAATTTTATGGACAAAAAGTTGAAATTATTTCAGAAGGGTCAATTTTATTGACAAAAAGTCTTTTGGTGGTAATGTGGGTACATGGGTTTTTCTCTTCATGTGATTTCCCGTTTTGAATTTTCTCGTTTGATATTTATACTGGAATTCTCATCTTCATGTGCTTTCTCGTTTGAATTTTCTCGTTGGCTTTCAATTTTGGTGAATGGTATTAGTACGCCACATGGATTTTCTCTTGCTCACAGGATGTACGTTAGGAGATCGTCTTTCTCTCCACTTCTTTTCTGTCTTGCAGAGGAAGCTCCCATCATAGGTTTAAATTTGCTTTATTCTACTAGACAGATTACTTCTATCTCAGTTTGTGGGATTGTTGCCCTCCCACTCATGTATTATACACTGATGACCTATTTATTTTCTGTCGTGACAAATGTTCGATCTCTTCCTTCTCTGCTGGATTTTCTTGACAAGTATGATCATGCTTATGTTCTTTTTATTTTGGGTCCACCTCTTTCCATCGTATGACTTTTGTCTCGAGACATCTTCGGTTTCGTTTGAGTGTTACTCCCTTCATGTGTCTTAGCTTCCGTTTCTCAAATTGATGTGAAATGATGATCTAAAAATCCAGATTTTGAATTTCACACCCAATTGGAGTATAAGATTTGCAGATTCTTTAGTGATATAGACAATATTGCCGGCGCAACTGACAGTTTGATTGAGGTTTTGAAGGAGTTTATCTATTTGTTTGAGGGTTTAGTAATACCCAATTGAGCAAAGAAACCTACGCCCGCAAGCATGCCATCAAAATAAGATAGCTATGTGTACACGTAACCGTTTGCATGCTCAGTATTAATTAACTATTTTTTTAGGTCAAGTTGTATATATAGTTCCATTTGCAAGTGTACCTCTACCAGTGATGAAGAGGAGTGTCGTTCTTGAATTGGATTCGAACCCCATCCTCCCTAATCTAACATCTAATTTAGCATATATAGTTCCATTTGTTCTGTCCATGATCTCTCACTTAAGAGAGTTTTTTTAGGTAGTTTGTTTAAGATTTGAATTGAGGACGGTTTTTTTTTTTGGTAATTAATTTGTTTAAGATTTCAATTGACATGTCCCAAACTGACACTAGTGGACATTCCGGGTCGGGATGTGTCAACATGCCCAAAGAAATGTTAAATTAATTAGTTAGTGATCCCCCTACATTGAAATCTGTTTCTTTTTGGAATTTCGGCAGTACAAAGGAGACTTTATTACTATTGAGAAACTAAAATTCGGAGAAGACATAAAACATGACCCGGTCACAACCGGAAAATACATAAGCATCCTCAATAATATTCCGGAAGCCCTGAATCAAAACTTGAAGCAAACTATATGACTTCGATTGCCAAAATTGAAATTACAACTGCTTGAAAGAGAGAGATTCGAAAAACGTCTAGAGAGCCTTAGTTTGAATGCGAATAATAAGAGTAAGACATTAACGACTATTCTTTACAATAATGTTTGACAGTTGAATAACCAAAAAAAGAGTTATATATATATATAAACCCCCACGAAATCTATGACCAAAATTTGTACTAAATTGGGTGAATAAAAAAAGAAGATGGCTTAGGCTGCAGCCTTGCTTGAAAATGCCGCATTGGCTGCCGTGTGACGTTGATCTTAAAAAACAATAACCAAAACCGCAAGAACATAGTACTGAAGTCATAAAAACATTTTAGATTTGTCAAAGATGCAAATAAGAATTGTGATAATAATTGTACAATATTCTGGATCGTTAAATCGTAATCAAGGGAATTGGTTTGAAAGGAATATAATTGAAGAGAAGTCAGAATTGGATTCCTAGTGAAGCTATTTACCTAAATGTTCAGGAATCAAAATAAGAATGAAACTAAGTTCATATAAGTTGTTTACTAATAACTAAATCATAATAGAAATAAGTCATTTAATACTACAGTCTAGTCGTATTCCTTTTTGACGAGAATAACACCTAAGACATCTCACTTACAAGTAAAGAGAAATATCACTAGACTGTAAAACTAAGTGGTGAGAGGGAAGAGTTTGAACCCAAGATACAATTCCTCTTTGGCGAGAATAGAACCTAAGACATCTCACTTACAAGTAAAGAGGAATATCACTAGACCGTAATACTAAGTGATGAGAAGGAAGAGTTTGAACCCAAGATGCAGTGAATGAAAAAGGAATACTCTAACCATCAGAATGATCCACCACTTACTAGAAATATAAAAAAAAAATTAAATAAGAAATACATTAGAAACGGTCTTTCAATTTTTACATTAAATTAATATTTTTCATTAATCATCCTCCAAACTTTTTATCGCAAATCGCTCTTCACCTCTTCACATTCAAGAGTGGTGAAGATTTATTAGTACTACGATATAGTGATATTTCTCTTCATTTGTAAATGAGAGGTCTTAATTAGGTTCGATTCTCGTCAAAGAAAAATTTAAACCACATTATTATTAGTCTATTATGAGACTAAGTTCAGCCAAGACTTTTCCTTTAACATAGATAATATCATTTGTTTAAAAAAAAAAAAAAAAAAGGTGACGAGGGTTCACATGACATGATCTCTATCGAATAGCTGCTGATTCATGAAGAATCTCATCTTACTTGGTGAGTTTCCTTCTCCCTGTAGTTTCTATTTTATCTCAAATTTCATAATCTTGTTGGATCAACTTTGCCCACCATGCATCACTGAAAATATAGCAGTTTTGACAACGTAGTGGTGGAGTCAGTTAACGAGGCTGAGTGATATTTCTCTGATGCTAGATGATGAGTGTTGTAGATAAATGTCATTTTATATGGTTGTGAGTGTTTAGAAGTTTTGTTTTGTTTTTATTTTTTTTCATTTTTTATGTTTTTGATGCTTGGCGATAGTGAAAAATACATGGATTAAAGAGAAATGAGAAGTGAATATAGGGTTTACCATCTCCTAGTGCAAGGAGAGACTTGAAAATTCTGAAATAGCCGTTTTTAGTATCATTCTACAATCACGGAGAACTAGAAAATAAAAGTTGAATAATCCCATAAGAAAAAGGTACTAAAATAATAGAGAAAAATAACTTTGAATCTTCTTTAATCAAAACATTCATATATGCCCCATCTCCCATCAAGAAGTGGAATTTATAAGCACTTGTAAGTTACATTAATAATTTGAAAAGACAACGAAATTAAAGTTACAGGAAAGTGAAAATTCCATTAATAAAGTAATATGATCAGCGAAGAATGTCGTGACTTTTATTAATTGTTGCTAATTGCTTTTAGCCATTCATTTTAAAAAAAAATTAATAAAAATGATTTGAAAATTTTGAGTTTAACAATAAGAATAAAAATAAAGGGTAAAATGAATAATACCATAATTTACTTTTTAGTGTAAAATGTAATTTTTCTTTAAAGTAAATAATACCGAAAATTTTTCGTTAAAATTCCTTTCATTTTATCCCAACGCTTCATAAATGCACTGCCTTACAAATCTGCTTCAGCTTTCCAAGTCATAAATTGCAAAATCTAAACATTAGTTTTCTATGTGTTTCTTGTTTGCTTTCAGTATGGATCTATCAATCAATTTGTATCGATGACTTAAGTAATGTAGTTTTGACAGATGATTGGGAGATTTTTCAAAGCGTAAATTTGTGCATGATTCTCCCCCGATCATTACAACTATGTATTCGGTTGGTTACAAAGGTGAATGAGGATTGGTCAAGGTAAGTTTTTATCCATATTCAGTATCATATTTGTTCTTCATATCAATGTCTCTAGCGATTAGGTTGAAATACTGCATGTTTTTCGCATTGAATTCCTTTAACATTAAAAACTCCTTTTTTTTTTTTTTTTAGCATTAATAAATCTTTTAAAATCAAATATTTTATCGTTTCTTTTTAAATATTGCGGGACTATTTTAGCTTAGGCCGCCAAAGAACTTCTTGAAACTTTTATTTTCTTGTAAAAATAAAAAACAAAAAAAAATTCCTAAGCCCAAACGCAATATGAGCCTCATATCGTCCGGCCCAAAATCTGAAGCCGAAGCCCAAATCTTCAATACGACGTCGTGTATCGACTACGTTTATCTCCGTTTTCACTACAAACCGAAACCTCAGGCCAACGCGTCTCGGCTTTTGGCGGCTTGGCCCCTCTTCCCCACTCTTCCTCTTCAGAGTTCAGTTCAAGCTATTGCTTCGGAAGAGTTGCAGAGATGGTTTTGTCTAACAGGAAGCTGAAGCAAAAGCTCAGGGAAAAGCTAGCTCAGTCGTTAGTAGAATCGGTAGGTAAGCCTAGAACCGACCCGACAAATGATGGGTCGGAAAACCCAGACCCGAAATCGACCCCCCGGTCGCTGAAAGTGCTTTTGGACTCCACAACCCAGAAACCCAGATTGTCCAAGCGGGAAAAACGGAGAAAGATCCTGTCTTTGCGAGGTCCAGAGGTGGTGAGTGTGAATGGCAGTGGTGGTAATTTGGGGGGAAACAAGGGGGAGGAAGGGAAGAGCGATATGGGTTCAGATGAGGAGGAGGAGGATGAGAAGAAGAAGAAGAAGAAGAAGAGGAAGAGAGATGAGGGGGAACAAGATGGAGACTTGAGTGCAGAGGAAAATGGTGTTCGGAAGAAGGAGAGTAAGAAGCCAAAGAAGAAGAATAAAAAGAAGAAGAGGAAGACGGAGGCGAAAACCGAGGAAGAGAATAAGGGCGGTGAGCTTGAGAATGGAAAGCAAATTGTCCAGGAGACAGATATGAGCATTGACAGGTGATTTTTTACTACACCCTTTTCCTCAATTTGTGTATTTGCATAGTGATTTTGGTAGTGTTTAATTCAGGGTTTTAATTAAGTTTTTGAGTGGGAGGCTGACTAATTGTGTATTTTGGGAGGAAATGTGGATTGAAGGTGTCTGCTTTCTGTGTGAAAGTTGGTTCTGTAGTTTTTGCCTCATTCTGTGCGTGTTTCGTTTCGTTTCGTTTCGTTTAGACAAGCAAGTGGGGATGTTCTGACAAAAGTTTATGTGGGAGGCATTCCTTATTACTCGACCCAGGATGATATTCGAAGTTACCTTGAAAGCTGCGGTACAATAACTGAAGTTGATTGTCTGAGGTTTCCTGACAGTGGGAAGTTTAGAGGAATTGCTATTATTAGCTTTAAGGTAAGAAATTGTGAATTAAATTCGGCGTTCAAAACTTTATATTTCAGTCCTTGCTAATGTAACTTGGAATTGAAAGTCTCTTCAGAACCTAAAGAATTAGAGATTGCCCACCAGGAAAGCCTAGTTATTAGTTTGTATTGGCAAATGTTACGATATCACCTGTCGATATTTTTTAAACACCTTCTTAAATGAATGTTCACTTCCCAGTGCTCCTGGTTCCTTGAGTTTGAGCTTGAGATATACAGGCATTCAGATTGCCGGATATGATTTTTACAAGTACGTCTTGCTTACACTTCCGCTTCTGCTAGTTGAGTTGAATTTATCACCCTCAAGAAGCTATATGTATACCTTGAAAGAGTTCATGAGTTAATCACAACAGGCTTATTGCTCAAGTCCGATTTGCAACCTCTAAATCAATTTATGCGAATCTTTTATTTTTCAATGATTAGCATCATTCATCATTAAATATGAATGTATTCCTTTTAAAGATAGACTGACTTTGAAAAACTGCTAGAAATCAAAATGAGGATGTTGAGAGTCTGAATTCTTTTGAAATCTAGGTTCATGCTAAATACAAGATTGTTTATCGTCTATCTCATCTTAACATGCTAATGTTTTTACAGACAGAAGCAGCAGCCAAGCGAGCCTTGGCTCTTGATGGAGCTGAAATGTGAGTTTGGACAATGTTTTCTTTGGTTTCCCAATTTGTTGTTGTAGGATTGTTTGCCGGTTCTTACAGGATTCTAATGAAACTTCGTTTTATCTCAGGGGTGAACTATTTCTGAAAATCCAGCCTTACAAGGCAACTCGACCCAATAAACTGAATAAAGTATCTGATTTTGCCCCACAAATTGTGGAGGGATACAATAAAATCTATGTTGGAAATTTGTCATGGGATATTAGTGAGGATGATCTGAGGAAGCTTTTCTCAGATTGCAAGATTTCATCTATACATTTTGGTAAGGATAAGGAAACAGGGGAATTTCGGGGTTATGCTCATGTAAATTTCTCTGATAGCCTCTCGGTGACTATGGCATTGAAGTTAGATCAGAAGGTTGTATGTGGAAGACCTATCAAGATAAGCTGTGCAGTACCTCTGAAAAAAGCAGGGACTCCTTCAAACCCTGCAGCTACAACTTCAAGTACTCATTCAATATCTGTAGGCTTCAGCTATGAGCGCTGATTCCATTCCAGTAGATAAAACTATGGGTACAGGAGCTGGTGATGGTGGGTTTAGTGACATCAGTGGTAAGATCAAGAGGAGGACGTGCTATGAGTGTGGTGAGAAGGGTCATCTTTCTTCGGCTTGTCCAAAGTCTGTAACTACAACATTTAGTACCCATTCAATACCGGCAGCTACAACTACAAGTAGTGATCCTACACCAGCTGCTACAGCTTCAGGTACAGGAGCTGATAATAGTGGGTTGAGTGCCACCAGTGGGAAGATTAAGAGGAGGACGTGCTATGAGTGTGGTGAGAAGGGTCATCTTTCTTCAGCTTGTCCAAAGTCTGCAACTACAGCTTTTAATACCCATTCAACACCCGTAGCTAAAACCACAACTACCAATCCAACACCAGTTGCTACAGCTACAGGAGCTGATAACTGGTGAGTTGAGTGACATTAGTGGTAAGATTAAGAGGAGGACCTGCTATGAGTGTGGTGAAAGGGTCATCTTTCTTCAGCTTGTCCAAAGGCTGCTACTACACCTTCAAGTACCCATTCAATTCGAGTAGCTACAGTTACAAGTACCGGTTCAATACCAGTAGCTACAACTACAAGCACCGCTACAACACCAGTAGCTACAACTACAAGCACAGATTTGCCACCAGATGTTCCAGCTGCAGGTACTGGAGCTGATCCTAGCGAGTTGTGTGTGAGCAGTGGTAAGATTAAGAGGAGGACGTGCTACGAGTGTGGTGAAAAGGGACATATTTCTTCAGCGTGTCCAAAGAAGCAAACCAATGCAAGTTAAGCATGTAGCCTGCAGGCAGTGTCCCAAGTTTTTCCTATTAATTACATGTAGGGAGGAACACATTACTCATTTTCGAATTGGTTGAAACGTCACAGGTTGTTGTTATTGAGCCCAATTTTGGGAAATTTTGTTTACTGCATTTAGCTTAGTTTGATGCAGAGATTTGTAAAACTGAGATATTTCTTTATTATTGACAAGGCAGATTTTGTTCCTTGCTTGAACTCCATGTCAAAGCAAATGGTGGTTCTTGTTAAAATTATATGCAGTACGGGGTGACGAAGGGTTTATTGTTCAAGCAGTTAAAGTGTTATGATATTAACTTGTGCACTCGGGATCTTGTGTTTGAGTCCTCTGCATCTTGAGTCTTAAAGACTAAATACTAGGCAATATACTCCCATCGGATCTAGTCCGGTCCGCCAAACGTGCCCTTGGTGTGTAATGTGGGGCACCATCTTATGTTCGAAGGTAATTGAAAATTTGAAATGAGGTGGAGAAAGCGTCGAGTTTGGTTCAAAAGCATCATTGCAAGAGGGGACAAACGAAAAATGAACATCTTGCGAGCGATACGTCCCATTTACTTTGACAAGTACAACGACTTAGAACTAGAACTATTTCAATCTCTAGTCACTAAACGGTGGAATGATCGTAGTTAAGAACATAACTTTTTAATTGATGGACTTATTTGTATACGTTTCTAGATTATTTTCTACTTTATTCGATCTAAATACTAAAAATCATGTGTAAGTGTAAGTAAAAAAAATTATGGCTTATGAAATTATACATGGGTTTAGATTCATTGGAAATGAAACATGTGCACCGTATATTATTTTAGACACTAAAAGCGATCAGAGTTTTGATGAAAATGCGTCACGTGCAAATCGCCTCCTATTTTTTGGATAGAAAGTTGAATTTCGTGTTTAGATTAACGCATTTCAAAAATTGAAAAATCAAGTTGGCACCTCTTTTAAGTAACAAATTAAAATCAGTATATAAGTTCAAGGACTTATTTCTAAAACTTTCCTCTTGATTATTCACAGATTTTAATTTGTTTTAAGTGAAACATGTGTAATGTGTGGCTTTGAGATATAAAATGAGTCAGAAATACCGTTAAAAAAATGAACTACAATGTGCACGTTATTCTTGGATGAAAAATAGTCGGATCAATTCAGTGTTTTAAATTAATTTAACACTATGATGTAAAATTCACATTTCTTGTTTTAAATTAATTTAGCACGAAATTAAACAAAATAACATGATGAAAGGAAACCCTTGAAACAGAGACTCCAATTGAGGAGGGTACAACTCACTACCACTATTTGCTACGGAAATGAGCCAACTGTGCCTCATTCAACAACACAAGTATTATTACGGTCAGATGTTTTGATATTATATCAGGTTTTTCCGAAAATTCTTGGGTGCTTCGAATAGCCAGCACACTGAGTGTGTTAATCATTTGATCTTAATTATGTATTTACAAACAAAAATCTAATGGTTAAAACACATGAAGTACCAGGCCTCTGAGTCACCCACATGACGGATTGTTTCCTTTATATGTGTTTTTTGAATCACCTCTGTACCAATGCGGCCTTGAACATACATACATATATATGTATGTAGGTGTATATGTATATATGTCCAAATCTTACATAAAATTGAAGGATATAATTCGGTTAATTACCCAAAAATATAGTTCTAAGGTATTAACAGGGTTTTGAGTGTTTTTTTACAAATAAATCGTTTAGATATCGTGTAAACCTTGCTATTATGTAGATCATAAATGAGAAGGTGTTTAGCTTAAATAATATTAAGAACTTAATATGGGTTGGCATTAAGAGCATTTTTACTCATGTATTAAGTGGTCTTGCGTTCGGGTCTGTCTGATGCATACGCGGCCTTGAACAAGGTCGGATGCTTTTCTTCATTTATATTTTACTTATGTAATTGAGATTTTACGTTCGATGCATTTAAAATAGGACTGGAAAAAGCCTGGTTCTTAGTCCAAACAAAAGTATCATTGCAAGGGGACAGAAGGAAAACTAACTGGGAGCTGGGTCACCTATCCCTTCTTAAATACTGAAAACAAACGTCTCATAATTACATGGCTTAGAATTGGATATTGCAGGATGCAATTTTTTCTTCCACAATTTTAATTACTAGTAACTAAAATATTTTGAATCTAAGGAAGTTTAGTGGACCTTCAGTATGAGACTATTTTATTTATATATCAACAGTTCTTTTATTTATGGCACAAAATACGTAAATTCTTATTTGGTAGTGTGTTAAAATACAAGGTTGATAGACACGTAAATTGCATAAAGAAACCGCTTGCCAAGAGTTTTTTGCTCGATTGATTATGAGTGTCCACGCTGCACTTAAGGTCTCGAGTTCGATTTTCATTGTTCCTATTATCGCTTGTATTAAAAGCCAACAAAGAAAAAGAAAGTAACTATTTGAACTTAAACACGAATTTTGATTGGTTTTAAGTGAGGCATGCACACCATGTGTTATTGTGACAATAAAGCAGTCAATTTCCTTAAAAAGAAGTCACGTGCAATATGCATCTTATATTTGTACAAACCTGATGTCATGTGACACGTTTTGAAGACGAAAACTCTAAGCAGAGTCTCTTAAATTTTTCTTAATAAATTGAAATTTGTGTTTTAAATTTCTTTTAGAAAATCTAACAATTAAGATTATCCATACACCAAAATTATCATAATTGCAAAAATCTTGTAGAATTTCTGTGATCTTGTAAGGAAGAGAGAGAAGAGAGAGAGAGAGATAGATTTCTTAAGAGTTAAGAAATGTGTGACTTTTCATTAATTACCAAAAGAATGAAACAATTACATATATATATAGCCTTTTGACTATTTACATTTAGCTATCGAAACTAATCACATAAAACAAACTAATTACATAACAAACTTATAACAAACTAATAACCAATTCTAGTTATGATATAGCATTTTCATCTTTACACCCCTTCAAGCTGAACATGGAAGAATCAAGAATTCCAAGTGAAAGCTTGGACTGCAGAAATTGGAACCTATTTTTAGACAAGGCTTTGGTATGAACATTTGCAATTTGATCCTGACTGCACACATACTTAACTTCAACCAGATTTGCAAGTACTAGCTCACGATTATAATGATAATCAATCTCTACATGCTTAGTTCGAGCATGAAATACAGGATTAGATGCAAGAGATATAGCAGAGATATTATCACATCAGAGAGTAGGTTTGTGAGATAGAGGAAAACCAAAATCTTTGAGCACCTTGCTAATCCAAGTAACCTCTGCAGCAGTTTGAGCTAAGGATCTGTACTCAGCTTTAGTAGATGAACGTGCTACAGTGGATTGTTTCTTGGCACCCCAGCTAATTAAGTTGGTGCCCAAAAAAACACACGAACCACTCGTGGATCTTCTGTCATAAGAGCAACCAGCCCAATCTGCATCAGAATAGGCTGACAGATGCAGTGAGCTTTTTTAAACAAGAGACCATGAGTGGGAGTCCATTTGAGAAACCTCAATATATGTTTGGCTTGCATGTGAAGAATAGTAGGTGCATACATAAATTGACAGATTTGATTCACAGCAACGGAAATATCAGGTCTTGTCCAAGTTAAGTATAGGAGAGCACCTATAATTGATCTTTATTCAGTGGGATTGATAAGTAAATCCCCACTATGATCTAACTTAGTACAACTAAGGGGAGTGCAACAGGGTTTTGCACCAGTCATGTTTGTTTTCTGTAACAGATCAAGCAAATACTTACTTTGAGGAAGAAGCATAGTATCTTTGGTTCGTTGAACTTCTAGACCCAGAAAGTAATTCAATGGGCCTAGATCTTTGACAGGAAATAAAGTGCTTAACTTTGCTATAAACTGATTGCAAATGGTAGTATCAGGACCACTGACCATAATATCATCAACATAAACAAGGACAATAACCAGAGTGGGAGCATGTAGAACAAATAAAGAAGCATCAGATGATGATTGACTAAATCCCAGAGATTGGAGAGCTTGAAATAATTTGTCAAACCAAGCTTTAGGAGCTTGTTTAAGTCCATAGAGAGATTTTCTAAGCTTACACACATGATGAGGTTTGTTGAGATCTTGAAAACCAGGAGGTTGAACTATGAACACATCCTCCTTTAAGTCACCATGCAGAAATGCTTTACTTATGTCCAGTTGGTTGAGGAACCAATTAAACTGGACAGCAAAGGATAACAAAAGTCTGATAGTAAATGGCTTTGCAACTGGACTGAAGGTTTCTGTATAGTCAAGACCTTCATTTTGGTGAAATCTCTTAGCAACAAGCCTTGCTTTATATCTCTCAATGGATCCATCATGAATCTTTTTAATTCTAAAGACCCACTTGCAGCCAACTACATTTTGAAAGGGTAAGGAGGGAACAAGTGTCCAAGTGCCAGTAGATAAGAGAGCATTGAATTTAGTTTGCATTGCCAATCTCCAATTTCAGACTTAGAGGCTTGAAGATAAGTATTGGGAATGTTATCAATGGAGGAAGGAAGTGGATGTTTGGTAGCTGTGAAGACTTTGGGTTTATGAATTCCATTTTTGGATCTAGTAACCATGGGATGAATATTAGGAACAGAATGATTCACAGGTTGTTGTGTAGGCACGGTAGGAGAAGAATGCATAGAAGGAGGTGATATAGGGGGTTATGAGGAAGGTGAGAGTGTTGGTGATAGAGGCATAGGTGTAGTGGATAGAGATGTAGGCATTGAAAACTGAAGATCAATAGAGGAAGATGTAGAAGTAGACGGATCAACATAGGATAAAACATGAGGAACAACTTTAAATGGAAAAGTAGTCTCATCAAAAGTAACATACCGAGAGATATAGATCCAATTGGTGTCCAAATCGAAACACCTGTAACCTTTGTGTTGTAAACTATAGCCCAAAAAGACACATCTTTTACTTTTCCCATCAAGCTTAGATGAAATGTAGGGCTTTAACCATGGATAACAATTGCACCCAAAGACCTTAAGTTTGGAATAATCGGGATACTTGTTAAACAACAACTCCCAGGGTGATTTAGTATTTCCTGATAGAGGCAGCGATTTATAAGATAAATGGCAGTACCCAATAGGAATGAGGAACACTAGATTCAACTAATAAGGTCCCAGCTGTCTCAACAAGATGCCTATGTTTCCTCTCCATATAACCATTTTGTTCTGGTGTGTGT